TCTTTATCAAGCTCCGTTAATGGCGGAAATTACAGATCAAAGTTAGTTTCTTTTTCTTATTTTTGAAGATCTTATGCTTAATTCTTATCTTGTTCGTTTTCTTTAGTCTTTGTGAAAATTTCCGTTTTTAGAGTAGTCAATACTTCTTCGTTCTTTGATTTTTTTTGTATTGTCTATGAAATTGGTTTCTTATAGTCAACGTATTCGTTGGCTTATTTCTGTTTCAAAATCAAATCCCTTTTTATACACAATCTCTCTCAATTTCGAAATGATCCATCTTTCGTCACTTCCCTCAAATTCGACTTGAATTTAGGGAGAATTGTACAGATCTTACAAAGTAAATACACAATCTTTCAATTTCTTTTGTTCTTTAAAAACCCTAATTTTGTTTTCTAACTCTCTGTCTCTCTTTTGTTTCACTTGATGCAAACAGATTAGGCGTTCTTCTGTGGATAAAAGTGGTTCGAAGATGAATCATTGTAACCTTCAGCAGAACGTCTTCATGTCCCGTGACGAATCAGTGGTCTCTGTTGTTTGTCCTAAGCCTCGTCGTGTTGGTATTCTCGCCAATAATGTTGTTCGTACCTTTAGATTACATTCTAGGTATATACTTATAAAGTCTCTTCCTTTCTTATTATCTTTGTCTTAGAAAGATCATATTCGTTTTTTCAAACAAAATCTTGATATTTACTTTGTGTTTGGATTTTACAGTCAATCAGGAGCAGCCGATGTATATGATTCTAAAGCCGGTGCTGATCTTTTTGACATAATTCGTAGAAAGGTTTGTCTCTCTTTTTGTTTTCAATCTTTTTCAAAGTTTTGTATTGAGGCAATGCCCATTGAGTTTGAAGCATTTACTTCATTCGTGTTTCTTGATATCAAAATCAATGTTAGGCTATAGAATTGCTTCAAGAGTTGAATCCATATAATGTCTTCTTCGGATTTCACCTGACTGAATTCTAATTCTTGTTCTTTTCTCTGTTTTAGTTTTCATATCACATCAGTTCCTTAGCTGCTTATAGAGATTTGATCTTTAGTTGAAATATATTTTGTCTTGGTATCTAAACTTGTCTTCTTCTTTCTTTATATAGGAGGATTGTGGAACATTATCATTTGTAGCTTCATCACCCCCGTTTTTCCTCGGGTCTCCACCGAGCAGAGCAACGAACCCGATAGCTCAAGATGCACGCTTTGGAGATGAGAAAATAAACTCGA